CCCATGAAGGTGGGCGTCTGCAGACTTGGGCCGGCCCAGGACAAGCGCCACACCCTACTCAGGAGAGCAGGACGCCTGTGGCTGCTTGGTGCCTCCCAAGCTGTGTGCTGCTCTCTCTGCCTGTGGCTTTGATGTGGCCTCAAGCCCCAGAGTGGCAGGGACTTCTGTGCTCTGTGGGCGGCTGGACCCTGGGCTGTCTCCTGGGGCGGGAGTGGCTCACCAGCAAGGCGATGCCTAAGGAGTGGGAGGTCCAGGCTCATTGTACTCCTGCAACAGGAGCACAGAGGCAAAGCTTGGTGTCCTGGCACAGGCCTGTAATCCCAGCATTTGGGAGGCTGAGGCAGGAGGATGGCAAGTTTAAGCCCCGCTCAGGTAACTTAGCAACTTAGCAAGACTCTGTCCTGCCACAAAATAAAAACTTTTTAAAAGACTGGAGATGTAGCTCAGTGCAAAGTCCCGTTGGTTGGGTCTCTCTCCCTGGAGGCAGAGGGGACAATCCCTGGAGGCCTCCTCTGCCACGACCACGCCAGTAGAGTCTGCGTGACAATGCCGGTCACCTGGCAGAAACCAGACCAGAGGTATCGTCCCCACGGGGTTAAGCCTCCTGGAGGTCCTTGGCACACACCGCATGCAAAGTCAGCCGTGAAGAGAATAGCTGGCCTCTCTGCCTGCAGTTTGGGGACATTGAGTTCATCTATAATTCTGTTCTATTTTGTCTTTATTACTATTTGTTCATTATCTGTAGAATTGTATTCTGGGCCCAGGAAAAGTTAGGAACAATTAGATGTTCCTAGAGATGTGGAGATATTGAGGCACAAAAGGATGGGCGGCCAAAGTGCTGACCCTGAGCCCCAGACTGTGAAGTCCTGAAGGTGAACCTGAAGGTGACATGCTAAAGCCAGTCCTTTGTCTTACAAACTTCCCCTTCTGACTGCGTATAGGTGTGGTCTTACCTTGACTCAATGGTCTTAGCTTTTGTGATGGTATATAGGTGTGGTCTTACCTTGACCTTGTGGTCTTAATTTTTACAGTACTATTGTCTATCTTATGCCTGCCTGCGACTGGAATCACTCTTGTGATGTGCCCTTGAAACTAGTATATAAACACCTGGAGTTAGAAATAAAATTGCAGCAGCATTGGCAAACTTCACCTCGGTGTTGAGTGCTTTTGTCTGACTGTCATCGCCGAACCTGCTCCCACCTTTCAGAGAACCTGTATCTCCTCGTGAAATCCCGTGTTTGCTGCCCTACGGTCGGTAGCACTCCTCAGCTGCTATTCCCTGCTGTCCAGCAGCAGGGTCCCAGGCCTGCTCCCTCCACACCTGGGTTTTCCTTCCTTCCACCTGGTTCGACTTTCCTGCCCCAGGTTGCAGAGACCTCAATCTTCCAAAGCCCATTGAGTGTAGCTCACACACAGTCCTAACTCCTGGCAGCTTTCTGGAACCTTCTGGAGAATTCTGAGCAGTCCCACCATTTCCTGTGTCGATGCTGCAAGTGTTAGACAGGAATTTAGATGTTAGGAGTTCTTAGGAACAAAGGCGTAGTATAAAATAGCATGCTATAGTTAAAAAAACACGACCTCTATGCATAACACATTTATAAACAGGAGCTAGGCCTCTACTCCTAGAATAGTGCTTGCAGCATTTCTGGGTACCATGGCCTAGGGCCCAACAATATCAGGAAAGGAAGCATCCTTTAAAAGACCTCCCGCCAGCCGGGCATGGTTGCGCATGCCTGTAATCTCAGCACCTGGGATGCTGAGGCAGGAGGATCGCTGTGAGTTGAAGACCAGCCTGGGCTACATAGTGAGTTCCAGGTCAGTCTCAACTACATAGTGAGATCCTGTCTCAAAAAACCAAACCAAAACAAAAAAAAAAAAAAAAAAACAATAAATAAATAAATGTAAAAAAACTCCTGCTTGGCCGGGGATTTAGCTCAGTGGTTCAGTGGCCTGCCTCGCAAGTGCAAGGACCCGAGTTCCATCCCCGGCATCACACAAAAAAACAAAAAAACAAAAAAAAACTCCTGCTTTGGGTTGGGACCTTCAGGACTTACTTTTGTAAACTTCTTTCCTCAGTTTCTGTCAGGATTAAGCTTCCTGAGGGAACGCTGACCACTGAAAAGGACGGGAAAACATTTTGCAATCCCAAAGTAACTTCTACAATACTTGGCCAATAAGCATCATCATAATCACCGTATTTCGGTCCAAAGTCACACTTGGGACAGATGTCTTTGTGACACTGCCTGCCCTCTCGCTCCAAGATGTAACTCTCTATCTGGTTTGCAGTAAACGCTACCTGCGATTTTACTCCACTGCCTGGGTATCTTGACTGAATTCTTTCATCAAGGGCGCAAAGGAGAGAGGGAAGTGACCGGGCAGTTCCTCAGTGTCAGACCCGGCTTCCTGGTGACACAGGCGCTGTAACCGCCGTCATCTACCTGCCTTTGTGGCATTGCAAGGGACACCTGCTAAGTCTGCCATTTTACTGACCAGAAGCTGGGCCTGGAGCCTGGCCGGACTTGTGTAAGGTCACACAGCCAGGTCCGTGTCGCGGTCAGAAGGGGGGTTCTGCCCCAGGCCTCAGGACCCCGAAGCCGCTGTGCCCCCCGCGTCCTTTCACCGTGTCTCTTAGTGGGGCTTCTGTAAACAAAGCCAGGGTCTGCGGATGTCTGTGCCCCTGGCTCGCTGAGGTGCAACCCCACCCGAAGTGGGGACCCGACCACCAGAGGCTCATGCTGGCCTGCTGTTCCTCAGCCATGGCCAAAGGAGAGGTCTGACCGGGGCGGGGAGCCTGGGGATGCCCCGAAGTCGGCACGGTAGCAGGGACGGAGCAGCAGGCGTCCCTGGTTTGGATGGAAGCCCCGCCCTGCTGGTCTGCAGCCTGGGCTCACGGGGGCCACCCAGGGCCCTGGGGACCAGGCTTCCCACAGCCTCAGGCTGGGACTGTTTACACGAGCAGTTCCTGGGAAGCAGCCTGGAGCGGCTCCTCCAGATCTCTCCGGGTTCCCAAGCCCAGACTGTGACTCAGGACGGTGGGGCAGGAGCTACCCCAATGGCCACACGCGACCCTGTGCTACATCTTTGCTGACGTATCTCATGCCATCTTTACCACAGTAGTAACGGGTCTCAGCCTGCTCCACAGGAAGCCAACTGAGGTACACAGCTTTCTAGACTGGTTTTTTTTTGGAAACCTGGTCTGGCTATGTAGCCCAACCTGGCTGGCTTTGAACTTGAGACCCTCTTGCCTCAGCCTCCAGACTGCTGGGATTACAGGACTGTGCCAGCACTCCTACCCAAGGCACACAGTTTGAAGCACCCTCAGGTCCTGCAACTTTGTCTTTGACCCCTCCCAGAGCACCCCAAAGTGTGATTCTGGGGCACCTACTCTCTGGGGCCATCTGTCACACATGAGCATGAAGGGCATCGTTTCTGGGAGGACCTGGGGGCTGGCCCTTAAGTCCCTGCCGTGGACACCTCTCAGGGTCCCTGAAAGCTTTTGGTAAAGTGACCCCAGGCAGGGTGCAGTTGCAGGCAGGGTTTGCAGGTTGGGGAGCAGGAGGAGGCTGGGGTGGGTGTCTTGGCTCCTCCGTGGCCCCCAGCCCTGTCCTCGCCTCTCTTGGTAGGATGGGGAGCAAGGGGCCATTTGAGGGGAAGAGAGGGAGGGAGTTTGAGTTTGGGGGGCCCAGGAGGCAGAGGAGTGAGGTCTCGGCCAGGCTGGACTCCAGGCTTCTTTGGGGAAGAGGATGGAGGGTCGCGGAGGGGGGTGCTCTGAGTGTGGACTGGAGGCCTGAAGGAGATTCGTGCGACATCTGGACCACCCTGGCAGGGGAGCTGTGACTTGGCGGAGGGGCTGGGAGGTGGGGCGGGGACAGCAG